ACCAGATGCATCACGTAAATTCATATGGAAGAAGTTGTTCATAATCTGCATAAACAAGATTTGATGAAACCAGATGCATCACGTAAATTCATATGTAATAGAACCGAGAGTGATTCTCGCGTTCGTAATCTCTTAGCATCCTTTCTTCGAATAGATGAAATCCCCAATTCCAATTTTACCCTTATTTGCCCTCAATATATGCRGCGCGTGTTTCCCAACTTCAATTTTATTACAATTATGCCATGAATTTAATTTGGATCATTGATTAAAAAATGAATGGTTTAGATTAAGGTTGCATAGGTTGTATGAATGGTAGAGGGTGTATAATAACACCCCTCTATATATATATATATATAATATATATATATATATATAGAGAGAGAGAGAGAGAGAGAGATGAGTTATTATACAACCATTTATATTTGTACAACCAATACAACATAATCTTAACCGTCCATTTAACTTGATTAATATGTGATTTCATAGAAGTTTTGATTGTTATCTGATATAAAGTGTTGATCATAATTAATAAACTTTATTCATCTTCCATAAATATTTAAATCATAATAAATGAACTCTCGTCATTTCCATAAATATCTTAATTCATTGGGTTGTATTTGTTGTACAAATGAAATGGGTTGCATTTAAAACGAACTTTATATATAGGATATATTTCAAATGCAATCATGTCCCTTTATACAACCAATGCAACTCAATCAATTGAAATATTTATGGAAATGATGAGAGTTCAATTATTATGATTTGAATATTTATGGAAGATAATTAGATTTATTAATTATGATCAATATTTTATAACAGTAAACAATCAAAACTTTTATAAAATCACATATTCATCAAATTAAATGAAATAATCATGAGGCCCCACTACCAAGTCCATAATTCATTTAGCTTTCCATTTCCAAGTTCCACCGGTCCATCCATGAGGCAACGACTTCACCTTCATCCAAGTTCCACAGTTGTTGGCGCCTGGCCATACATCGCCACTGCTTCTTCCTGGTTCCTACTTTCGCCTTCCTGCACATCGCTACAGCTACTGCTCGGTTGCTCCCTCCCTCTTCCCTCTTCATGCTTCTTTCTTGCTTCCTAAACAGCAATGCACCGTGACCATGCACTGCCCACTGTTTGCTTCCTGCGGCTACTCCAATTCGGGTAAAAAACTAAAGTTTTGATTTCCAATATTTAATTTTTAATGACTTTGATTTTGTTGTTTGCTTCACAATTAGTGATGTGGTGAACAATTATGTTAGGTTAATTTTGCAATTTTGAAAACAAATGAAAATGTTAGGTTAATTTTGCAATTTTGTAGGTAAATGGAAATGTTGGGTTTAATTTTGCAATTTCGTAAGCAAATGGAAATATTACTATGATAAAGATAAACCATTGATTTTATCTTGTTATTACTATTACTATAAAAAATGGAAAGATCTTTTAAAAGGAAAGCATCAACACCTGAATCGAGCTCTACCCCTTTGATGCCCTACGAAATTGATTTGAACGATCTTTCTTGAGATCCAATCAATAAGAAAAAGATTTTGGAATATTTTATCATATATCATATGCCCCCTACAATATATTTTTCTACATCCACCACTGCTATCACCCTTAATTAATATAACCTATGGTCCAACCCCTTCAGGGTCGTCCTCCACGCCTATATTTGTTGGCTAAGAAACCAAAATCAAACTTCAATTAAAGCAAGTCGATTTCATGATTAAAGCTATATTAACTGTTCATATCAATTTGGCTCATTAATACCATTACAATTGTGATATTTGATGTAAATGTCAACTTTAATTTGACCAAGTGGAAGAGGCGTAGTTAATTATGATACTCGATCGACTATTAAGTATTGAAAAAATGGCATAAATTTTTTAAAGGGGATGAAATGATAATAAATGATACTTACATTGTCCAGAATGATCGATAGTTTGATTAATTAATCGCTTACAATCATCACATCGGCCGGAATTGCGATGGCTTCCGGTGCACCGAGTGATAGAGCAGCGTCGGCGACTTCACGGAGACTCCTCTCTTCTAGCTGCCAATACTAAACATGCTCCTCTTCTGGCGTATTCATACGCGATATGCTTCAATTTCGATGCAAACAAAATTAAGAGTTTTAACTTAACAAAAACCCTAACTATGTGTTGCGCCAAAAATTGAAGAAATCAGAGACTAATTCACAAAAACTATATGTGCATATCTGAAGTGGATGGATGAATTCGAACCTCGCCTATTCCTGAAGATGCTCCGACGATCAGTACAACTTTTCCGGCCACGTTTTCCTTAGAAATGGAACGAGCGATATGGCATAAGAGTTTGAGAACAATGTAAGGCGTTGTGAGAAAGAAGAGTGCAGCGATGGTTGCGATTGGAGCAAGAAATTGAGGAGACTGTGAACAAAATCCATGGCTGCTCTGATCTGCTCGCAACGAACTGCTTGATGCAGACATGAGTGAGATGGTGATAGTCAATTCAGGAAGGAGAGGCGGTGGTGAAATGCCAGGTGTCAAGTGTCGATATTCACACGTAGCTAAACAAAGTCAACCAGAAATGTCGCGTAATGGTGAGTTTTTTCCTCAAATGTTGATTAAAATGTGATCAATATTTTTTGAAGTCTTCATTCAATTGGTTTGTAATTGGGTATATGGGAATGATTATTTGAAATGATTTATGTTTTTTTATAAAAATATTTATTAATTTATTATAAATCAGAAGAGTTTAACTTCTTCAAAAACTCCTTATTACCGGTTTGGCACCGATATAAGTTGTTTATATAAACATTCAAAAGTGTTTATTACCGGTGTCACATTAGAATAAGTTAATAAATTGTTTTTATAAGCAATTCCAGACACCCCTTAATATTATCTAAGAACAAAAATCACATTTGTCTAGTTCTTAAAAGATATATATATATATATATATA